CCGCCCGGGGCTGCGCCTACCTGTGAGTGCTGGCTCTGCCCGCAGCTACTGAGTCTCCAAGGGGACGGTTTGCAAAGGAAACAGGGCGGCCCTGACTGTCTCCAAGGCAACAGCCTTTGGGCCAAGCCCGGGTCAGGATGGGCCACGCACTGGCCAATGGCTCTGCTTGGTCCGTCTCTCTTCAGTCACCCCGGACGTGTGTCTCAGGCCTGTCTGCGCATGGCTGTGCTGTGTCCAGGGCGCAGTCACTCGGGGCAGCAGGAGAGAGCGGCCAGGCAGGGAGGGTGTGAGGTGGGGGTCAGGTGAAAAAGGGCTGCTCAGAGCGGCAGGCTGGCTCGCTTTGGGGGCTGAGAAAGGGGGCCCTAGTTCATCAGATCCCAGCCGGCCACTTGTGAGCGTGGAGTCCTCCATGATACCCTGCACTGAACTCACCCTCCCCAACCGATAGTCCGGCGCGGGGGTAGCAGAGCAGGCTGGTGGGGACCAGAGAGCAAGGGACAGCTGTGTGTCTGGCAGGAGGCAGCGGTGCACCGGGGGCTCCCTCCCCCTACAGGGACGCAGCAGTTACTCCTGGACATTGATCCCGGGGACTGGAGTGAAGGTTTGGGTGGTAGATTTGCATCTCAAAAGGCAGAAACAGAACTCATACTCACAGGCTCTGCATTCACTGCCCGTGACTGGCCCAGGGCCACTGTCCCTCCCCAGGTTGGGCTGGACCACAGTGAAGACCATTGGTGGTGACCATTGGTGGTGACACTGAGGCTCTGCAGTCCTCATCGGCCAATGCCTGGTTGAGAAGGGCTCAGCGGGGCCTGAGCGGAGTCTGGTCAAGGGTCCCCTGAGTTGACACAGGCCAGCACCTCTGATGGCCCAGGCGACGGTATTCTCTCTGCGGGCTCAGGTCTCTTGGGGCCTCTGTCCCGGCGCCGTGTCCGCCGGCTCCCTTACAAGCCGCACAGCATTCAGTGTTTGGCCTCGGGGCTGTGCTCAAATCTAGTCATAACTCAGGGAGTTTCAATTCTAATATCAATTTTAAATGGTCATTTTGGGTGCAATTTCAGAAAAATTGTAAGGTAGTTGACCCACTTCCTT